TTCGTCATGTTTCCAGTAGAATCTGGCAAAGCCGTCGTGTCCTTCAACTTGAGGTTCAGTAACATCGAAAGGCATGTCCATAAGACGTTCTTCTTCTAACCTCTCTAGTCTGTTTGGATAATTTGCGCGTGCTGTTTCTAAGTCCATTTCGTAGCGAAGACCAGACAATTTGTCATAGACTTTTATGGGTCTTCCCTTCCTATATTTAAAATTCTTCGAAACTCTCCAACCATATCTTTGCAACTCTGCTTTTATTCTAGCAGACTTTCTGTCCATTCTATATGGGGGCATTTTTATAAAAATAAAAAAATATATTTTTTCTTTACTTTACATAACCGCCTGCTACCATAAGTCTTTGACGCCAACCCATACCAGCTAATGAAGGTTGACTTGGTTTAGTTTCCAAACTAAACTTTGGTTTTGGTTTCTTCAGTTTTTGTTTTTCTTCTTCTATCGGTTTTTCGTCACTTTTCGGTTCCTCTGACTTTACTTCACTTGCAGGAACAGTTGTGTCGTCAACATCTTCATAAATATCATTATGCCATTTGTTTTTGTTTCCCTTTCAACTTTTGTTTGTTGTAAAGTTTAGAATATTTCGACTCTAAGTCAATGAGATGTTCTAATAATGAACTGTTGGTCAGTGAAGTAAACTTTCCATCTGTTGTCTCATAAACTCCTTCAGACTTCAATATTTTATTTGTGAGAGTCTGTTTCTTTTTTGAGATACTAGCCGTTCCATTTCTATGAAAAGTGACTTTGTGTTGGGGTTGTATTTCCAGACCTGGCACTTTCTATTATTGAATTTTTCTCTTCATCTGTATTCTTTGACAGGTTTTGACAATGGTTCTGAACTTTTTGTTTGTGGTGTCAAATCTACCGTTTCAACTTCTTCGGTCATTTCATCTCAGTAAAAAATTTTAGTTTGGTTTGTTTTTCAACTGGTGTTGTTGTTTTTTAAGTCGGTCTAAAACTTCCTGAGGTATAGGAAGAACTTGACAAACACTGTGGTGTGTAACTGCTGGAAGCCGACAAATCCATCTTGAACCCATTTGTCTCAATGCTGTATTGTTCATTTCATCTCAGTAAAAAATTTTACATTCCCACGTTTGAGGCGGTTGAGGTTGGTTATTGTTTACCCATTGTGTGCATGGTTATATCCTCTGTTAAAGAATCTTTCACCTTGGTCCATATAGTGTCCTGCTTGGTTATAGTAGTCATTTGCTTTGTTATAGTAGTTTCCTGCTTGTCTTCCTACATTGTCCATCCATCCTTGAACTTTTCCTCTTGTTTCAGGATTTGGAATAAGATTTGCTGCATCTCGTGCTACATCCCAACCTTTCTGTACAGTTTGTATAAATAGGTTGTGCTTTCTCTTTCAGTATACCTAATGTACTCAAAATCTTCCTTCCAACTCCAAATACACCTCTGGCTATTGTTCCCACTGCGGTAAAAATCTAGATGCGACTCCTGCTAATGCGCCAAATAAACCCATTTCTTATGGGTTAAAAAAACGAATCCAAACAAGGACCCGTATGTTTCTATAAAGCGACAAAGAAAGCACTCATGGTAAAAATCTTTAGTTTCAACACCAAATGCTTGGTTTATGGATTATTGGAAAACATTCCGAGAGTTAGAACAGATGGACTCCATACTGGCTAATATTTGTCGGTCAAAACACAAGATACTGTGAAGCCATACCATTACAGTCCAAAAATATTTTAGATGTGAAAACTGCTTTGACAATATTCGTTGACAATACCATCAACAAACTAACATCTGACTGTGAAAGTTTCTTCAAATCAGACGATATTAAAAACTATCTGCGTTCAAAAAATGTAAACCAATATTTCATTGTCGACCAAAACCATTCTGCTCTTGGTGTCATTGACGGTTGTATAAAAATGTTAAGAGACTTAAACCAACCACAGGTGGTGAAGCAAATGAAATGTCATATGACGACAAGTACAGACATTTCTCCATGGCAAAGATGAGACAAGTTTTAAATATTTACAATAGCCGTAAACAAAAAGGTTTGGGAAACCATTCCCCGAAGAAATGAAAAACAACCCTGACTTAGAGAAAGACTATATTTAACAATTTAGTCAAAAGAGACAAACAAAAAAGAATGCCGGGCTTCAAACTTCAGAAAGGTGACAAAGTAAAAATAGAAATACCTAAACGCGACCCATATGAAAATACTATTGACTATGACAACAATGGGAACCGACAGGTACTCACATTCGTGTTCGTAAAAAATAGAAGAAAGTATACAAGAGAATATTATGAAGTTTTAGGCAAACATGGCAAAATGTACAGACTGCAAGCAGAAGATAAAACTACTATGCCAGACCTCGTTTCAAACTTGTCAAAGTTCAAGGTGGTATACTTTCAAAGACAGTTCCTAACAAATATAAGACAACTCCTGACGAATATGCTAAAGAAGTTGAAAATGACGACTAAGCAATTCTATACCATGCGTAAACTGTCATGTAAGGTGGCATGTAGTCTTTACTTTGTCCCGTTGTTTGTGTATATCCTGAAACGAAATGTGTATGGTTTCCTCCTCCCTCAGTGTTACTCCAGTAACAATCTATAGCAAACTTAACGTTGTCTTTAACATCATATCCTTTACCTTTTGTCATTCCTGACCAATCCCAATATCTATGCTTATGCCAACCTGCTTGAGATGTACTTAAATCTATGTAGGACTATGTGCAGGTAAATTTTCACCTGAAATCGTTTTACTTCCACCTGTTTCCTTTGAAGAGTTTGCACAATACAAAAACCTGTCGACTATTTGTTCCCATGCACCAACACCAAACATTACTTGAGGACCTCTTGCTTCCATAGATGTATAAATAGAACCTACTGGGTTCATTAAATCAAACATATGAGACATTATAGGATTGTCTCTTTTGAACTTAAAATTTAGTGCAACTATTTCAGGTTTCTTCTGGTTTGTGTCAGAATATTTTTTATAATATAATCTTATGTTTTCAGGGTAGGTAAAGTCTTGACTATAATATTTATTTCTGTCATCTTCATAATAGTATACTATTCTCGTTTTTTCTATTGCATTATATCTTTTATATCTATAAAAATCTAAATATAATGTTAGCTTTTGTTCATCTACATGTGGTGTTCTGACGTCATCTCCATAGTCATAATAATATGGTGCTGGAGCTGGGTCAGGCAATGTCATATCTGTCATTTCATAAACTCCGAAATATTTCTTTGTTCGTCTCCATATAAGTTTAAGTAGCAGTTTGTTGTCTAATGGAACTTTAACTTGTGTACCATCGTTCTTTTTATAGCTTACATACATTTCATTGTTATTTTTCGGAATGAGTTTATACCGTATACCATTTTTTAAGGAATGTACAAACTCCCATCTAAAATATTTATTTTCTTCATTGACAGAAAAGTCACCAACCATAGTTTCAATATTTTTTGTTGTTCCAACTAAACTTTGGTATATTTCATTGACATATGTTTTATTTGCTTTAGTGTTTAAGGTTTCTTGTAAGTTTGTAATATTTGCAATGGTATGTGTATGTCCAACGGCACTTTTCCTGTTTAAGGTTTCTTGTAAGTTTGTAATATTTGCAATGGTATGTGTATGTCCAACGTCACTTTTCATGTTTAAGGTTTCTTGTAAGTTTGTAATATCAGATATAGAATGTATATGAGTCTTTTTAGAATATTCGTTTTCAGCTCTTGTCACTTCACTTGACATTTTATTGTCAACATATGTTTTGTCTGCTAGTTCAGGATGAGTATGTTCTTTTGTTGCATAAGCTTTGTTAGCTCTTTCTTCTTCTTTTGCTATTGCATCGTCTACATATTCTTTGTTCAGCTTTGTTGTCAACATCTGCTTTCAAAAGAAGTTCATCTATAGGTTTCTCGTTTAAGGTTCCTTTTGTTGGATTTATACAAACAGTATGGTTCTTGTTGTCTTGAAACAGAAACTCATCTGTCATTGGGTTTAATGTCAGTTTTAAGCTTCCTTCTTTCAATGACTCAGATATCTTAGAATAGTTTGAAAAGTTTGTTGTGTTCTTATTTAGAGCTTGTATAATGAGTTGTCGGTTGTGTTGTATTTCTCTCATAGACGCTGTTTCATTTGACATTTTTATTCTAGATAAAATATGCTTCCAATAGAAAAGGAAACTTCTAGAGTTGCTACAACTAAACCATTAGATGAACTTTTTACGAATGTCGGTCAAAAGTTTGAGACAGAGACCGTAAAGCATGAAGGCTATCGTTTTGACTACCCGTTAAGATGGCTAAGAGACCCATCCGTCACAAAAGCTATTGGCTTTCGTAGAATGAAGTTCATTTCAGAAGCCATACATGGTTTCCCATTTACGGTCGGTTTTGAAGTTCGATACTATAACAAAGAAAAACGTACGTATGAGAAATTTGAACAGGGAAAACTTTTACAAGTTAGTTTGCTTGTAAACTTAGAAACAACTCTTCAAGCTTTTCAAGAAAAAATAAACGATATCTATCTCGAATATGCAAAGCAGTATAACATTGACGAGGGAGAGTACCATCTCGATATTATATATGACAGGAAAAATGCAACTGTTAAAATCAATAGAATAGAAGACCTTGGAGAAAACGTTTATATTTCTACAAAATATAACAACTTGGCATGGTATAGATTTTTGAGGATGTTAAATCAGCCTGCAGCATATCCAGTACACCCGGACTTTTATGAAGTCGAAAACCCTAATGGAACATATGAAAATGTTTTCGACTCAGATGCTATTATAGTTCATGCTTCATTTTCTGGTGCACAAAACTCTTTTTTATGCTTGGCAAATGACTTTTACGAAAAACCTACAAAGCTATATGAACCACCGAGTGGAAGTATTTCAGACTTTCAAGTATGGTTACTACAGATGGAAGAAAGAGAATAGTTCCATTATACCATGCGTTTTACTTAGAACTTAGTTTCATATACAACTACTATCGAACGGTAAAAATATAATTTTTTAATACGGTTGAGGTGTTGGATTTGGTTGCCAACTTGACTGTGGTGCAGGTTCAGGCTGTTGTATAACAGGAGCTTGTTCTTCTGGTTCAGGGTCTTTAGGTATAATACCAACGAACTGACCTACTCTTTTACCAATATTTTTGACACCGTTCCAAATTCCTCTTCCGACAGATTTTATTCCATTCCATATACCTCTTCCAACATTTCGAAAGAAGTTTCCAATACTACTGAAGAAACCCATTTTACTATATGTAAAAATCTAATGTCCGCCTAGTCTCTTACGTTTCCTGTTGAGTTCCATAGCATTCTTTAACTGGAGCTCATACATTCTGTTTCTCCTCTGGTAGAAAACATACTCTGGGTCAACTCCTGTGTTCGCGTCATCTGCATAGAGTTGTTTATATCCCACTTCAGGGTTTGTATAAAACTCTTTCCATCTCATATTTGCATACCATGGTGGCAAACTTAACGCAGCGTCATTTGACATGGCAGTTTGCATTTGTACATCTGTTGGCACTTGACCATAGTTTGCCATTGCAGTTTGTATTCTAACTTCATTTGGAATATTCTCTGGGTTTGGTTGTCCAGGTTGCTGTGCATTCGCTAAGTTCTGTGCGTCCATTTAATATTAGATAAAAATATCTCTTACGAGTACATATACTGAACATTTGCAGGCATCGGTTCATCTTCATATTCTCTGTACTTTTCTGCCACGTCAAAGAAATAGATGACACAATGGAAAAAACCTAAAACAAGTAGTCCTATTTCAAACCACATTTACTTACCAATAAAATTTCTTTGTTATGACACTTTCTCCGGTTTATAGGACCTCTCTCATATTCTATCTTGTCATATTTAAACACATAGTCATGTATGTCCTCTAACCATCTCATAACGGTTTCCAAACCACTTTTATCGGATGTAAAGTAAAAGCATGGATGGTTATGTAAAACGTCTAAAGTTTCTAAAGAGTCTCTCAAAGTCCAGTCTACTTGGTATTGAAAATCGTATGTTATAGAACGGCGGGTCTACTATAAAGAAAACATTTTCCTTGTCTTTAAATTTTTCATACAACTCTGTCCAATGACATCTCACAAACTCTATACCCTCAATATATTTTTCTATGTCCTCTTTGAAAACCTTTGTATAGTTAAGATATAAAACGTTTGACATAAGTGTTTCAATGTCATGAACTCTTATAGAACCACTATATAATAGTCTAGCAGATATACTATCCCAGTCTATATATTCTACTTTTTTCAAAACCTCTCTGACAATATTTTTCTTATCTAATGGTATACGTTCCATCTTACCTATAGGTATCTTTTCTTTCAACTCACTCAATATTTTGTTTGTGTCTGGTATATGTTTGAGACGGTTCATATAGTTGTCGAAGTCATTGCATATAATCTTTGAGTCTGGGAATACGGTATGGCACAGATGGGATATATAGAAACTTCCACCGAACAAATCTACAAATGTTAGACCATTCGGTAGTTTCTTAAGTTCTCTCAATAGAATATCTTTACATCTACTCTTATTTCCAAAGAAGGGTAACGGTGGTTTTGTAAAATTCATTTTATATATATAATAAAAATGTTTTTACCTGAAAAAGTGACAGAAAAGGCTTCTCAAAGTATACTTCTTTGAACGCCCGTAACTTTACTGTAGCGACGATAGACCCTTACTTGTCCGGACATAGTTATACTATTTTGAGTCCTCTACCGAAAAGTCAACAGCAACGACTTTCAAAAATTTTAAGGGCTAGAAGTCACGAAGTGCCTGGGAAGCCCGACAACACCCAAAAAAACCTCATTTTATACCTCATTGCATACTAAACATCTTTGGGGCTAGAGGGCACGAAGTGCCTGGAGGCCCCACTCCCTTTTTTTTTTTTTTTTTTTTTTTTTTTTTTTTTAACACTAAATGATAATATGATTTATAATATAAATAAAATATTTTCAAGTCCAATAAATCAAAATTGATATTTTAAAAAAAACTAATTAAGAATTCAGTGATAATTTTATCAAATATTACAAGACAATATGATTTATAAGCAGAATAAAATATTTATTATTAAATTTGAAAAAACACTTTTTTTTATAAAAAAATTCGGGCTATTTATCTTATATATATATTATACAATGATTTGACATATATAGTATAATAGAAATATCATAAAAACTAACATCCATTCGAATAAAATATATTTTGTCCATTTACGAGTCATCAGCAATATAAGTTATACTATAATTTTCCACTTTACATCCAGAACTAGTGCATATCGATGGCTTCGATGGCGTTTTATCGATTTATCACAGGCGAAATCATTATCAAGAAGTCATCGGCAGCCATTTCATTCTAGAATATCGAACTATTTGCTTACAATTTAATTTAAAATCATCTGATAATTTTATATTTTATAGGTGTTATATTCACAATGATATATATTTTATAATATTGAACATGAGTTGAACAAATCTCCACCTTACTGAAATAATATATGTTAATTGAATTCTTATAGGTCTATTGAAATCATATATGTCTATTGAAATATTGTATGCCTATTGAAATTTTATATATCTTTAGAAAAATTGTAAAATAATTCAAATTTTCAAGAAAGAGCATTTGACTTCATTTATGAATAAGAAAAAAGGTCATTCGTCCTCAAGCCAAAGAGCTGCTCAATCAGCATCACAGAGGACCCAAGCTCCAAGTACTACGCCTGTACAAAGTCATTCATCACATCAGAATACTGCGCCTGCACAGAGTATTTCACCACATCAAAATACCACGCCCGTACAAATTGATCCACCACATCAAAATACCACGCCCGTACCAAATCCTGAACCACTTCAAGATACAGATGATCCAATAGCATTTTTTGCTCAAAGGGAAATCGATTACATCGCCACTTTTGCTGACGCTCCAATAATTCCAGATCCTCCAAAAAAACAAAAAGAACCACTTAAAATAAGAATAGAAGAAATTTTACACAATGACGATAATAATACATTAATTAAATTAACAAATCTTACGTGCAAAGATTTTCGAGATCTTATAAGACTTTTCATCCCTTCAATTGAATTACATCATTATAAGAATACTAGGGTTTCAATGGAAGCACGTTTATTAATTACATTAACATGGCTTAAACACGCTCCTGGATTCGAAGAATTGGCCGATAAATTCGGTATCAAAAAGACACACACAAGGCAAATTATCATTGATGTGATCGATGCAATTGGTTCTAAAATCGGCCGAGAATATGTGAAATGGCGATCATTTATTAAATGGGATGATCGCGAAAAATCAAAAGAATATCCTTATATGTTGGGAGCACTTGATGCCACAGTTCAAGAGATACCCAGAAGTGCCAATCAAGAAAAATATTATTCAGGCAAACATAAAATATGCTGCATCAAAACTCAGTGCTTTGTAAGCCCAAAAGGATTTCTTTTACATTATTCCAAACCAATCAGAGGAAAGAGACATGATTTTCATTTGTTTAGGAAATCCAACACATTGATAAGCAAATTAAAAGCAGAAGCAGATAAGATGAAAGCAGAAATCGATCAAATACCAGTCCTTTTGGCAGACTCTGGCTATCAAGGAATTCATCAAATTATTCCATGGGCATTAATTCCATACAAGCGCAGAAAAAATAGCGAATTAACTGCTGAGCAGAAGACATTCAATAAAAAATTGTCAAGCAGCAGAATAATTGTGGAAAATTACTTCTCCAGACTCAAACAATATTGGAGAGTAATTGGAGGAAAGTGGCCCTTACATGTTGATAATGATCTCACTTTTTATCACAAAACATTTGGCATGTGCGCTGGCTTGACAAACAAACTCTTGTACAGGAGGCCACTTCGTAAAGGCGCAGAAAAATGGGATTTCCTTGACTTAGACAGCATGGATGAAACAACAGATGCATATAATTACACAGATTCAGCTTCAGAGAGTGATAGCGCCAACTTATATTGAGTAAAAAAATATCTTTTATATTAATATAATTTTTATTCAACATAAAAAAATATTAAATAATAAAAATATTTTTTTAATATTTGCTAATGTCAAAAATGATTGAAAAGTGACGGTGGTTTGCGGTTTGACATGATATGAGTTGATTGGATATTTTATTTTTGTTCACCTGAAAGATATTATTGGATATTATTGAAATAATTGTAATAAAAGCAATATTAGTAATGATTGTCAAAATTTGTTTGAAATGTGACAACGGTTTGCGGTTTGACATCTTATTTGTTAATACATTTTAAACGAATTTTGACAATCATTACTAACATTGATACACTTCCAATAATTACATTGTTGATCCACTTCCATCACTAACATTGTTGATTCATTTCCAGTATTTGAGTTGCTTATCCACTACTATTATTGACGTTGTTAATTTACCTCCATTAATTGCATTGTTGATCCAGCTCCATAATAAACATTGTTGAACCATATCCATAATAAACATTGTTAAGCCATTTCCAGTATTTGAATTATTGACCCACTCCCATTATTAATATTGTTGATCTACCTCCATTAATGTTAAAATTGTTGATACGCATTCCTTAATATATTTATTTTAATTTGTTGTTAACTAAATAAAACCTCCTAAATAATAACTAAAAGAACCTGCATTATCTCTGAATATACTCATTTTTAATTAAATACTTATTATTGTGATTATTTATTTTTATATTATAGTTAAACCTAATTAAATGAACTCACAATACATTAAAACACTTTATAATTACAAATGGATAATAAATTATTGACCAATTCTCATTTCTAAGTAACGAAATCAAAAATGTGAATTATATCAATATGACACTTTTAACCTTTTTTAATCCGAAAAATCCAAAATACAATTTATACACATATTTAAGCAATATAATTATATATGTGATGATAGATCTCCATGATCAGAGTTTCGAGTTTTATTGAGTATTCATTGGACATCAAAGTTGAATCAAAGCAGCAAAAGTGAAATTTTCCGAGGAAATTTTGATGTAGCGAATTTTTTGTGTGAGCATTAATAGATCGAAATCACAAGAGAATATAATACCTCGCTACATATACTATTATATTATCATGTGAAATAAGAATGTTGAATCAATATCAACTGAGATATAATAGTATATAAAAAGTATTTTTATCATAGCTAAAAAAGAGATTTTTCACATGACAAAATTCTCAATGGAGAAAAACCATCTATATCCTACATATAACGTATAACGCATTGTTTTATACTTAAACACTTCTCTATGGATATATCTTGCGTAACATATATCTATCAGACTCGCTCATTTATTAAGCTATTAATAAAAATAGTATTCCATGAAAATCGTTTTTCCATTATATTATCCGTGAAATGCGGTGTAAACTTCACAATTCTCCGCTTCGGACGGAAAGAATTGTGTAGCCACACACACTTGTCATGCATAATTGTGTATTAAGCAAAACGAAAGCATTCACGATACAAATCTGTTAATTATGAATACTTTGATTTGACATTGAATATCTCATATCGAGATTTGAGATATCAAAAGCAAATTTTGATTTTTTATTATACAATTTATATTTGTAGTCTAATTATTATAGATATCATCAAAATATTGTGAAAGCACAATTTTTGGACCAGAAATTTTATAAAATATTCAATAGCTCAATTTTTCGAATTTAATTGCGACCTAAAAAAAAATATTACTTAATTGAATTTAATTGCGACCTTTTCGCTTAATGAGGTTCAAAATCATGGTTCCGATTTGTTCTATGTTCGCGATTGATAAAGAAAATCGCGTTTAATTTTGATCACAATTTTCCATAAAAATCGCGATTTTTTTGAAAAATCGCGACCACAATAAAATCGCAATTCATTAAAAAACGCAATTTTAAAAAAGTCGCGATTTTTCTAAAAAATCGCGATTTATATATTTAAATCGTGATTAAAAAAAGTGGTTGCGGTTTTCCCTATTATTCACCGGAGAGAGGGTCAAAGTTGCTATTTGTCACTTTTCCACAAGAATATAATGGGGAAAAAGTTATCATATAGTTGATCTCATTCACTGAGGTGAGAGATGCATGTAGTGTAATGGGATAAACAGTGGGATTGCTGCTCTAAGTCCTAGGTTCGAGACACATTGGCTTCTTTTTTCTCTTTTTTATTGACGTAAACTATTCAATTTTTGTGTTCTCCATTCAAATTTCAGAATTTTTTTTGCAGATTTCACGCTACATTCGAAGTTACCTTTTGTAACAACCACCACTGCCTACGAAAGACGAAAGTGTGTCACGATTTCACCCGGAAATCCGACGGTTGTTTAAGAGTATGCACTTTTGTCACCTACTCGCGATTTTTCTAAAAAATCGCGATTTATATATTTAAATCGTGATTAAAAAAAGTGGTTGCGGTTTTCCCTATTATTCACCGCGAATAAATCGCTATCTTGTACATCCTTTATAATCAAAAAAAAAAAAAAAAAAAAAAAAGGTAGTGGGGCTTCCAGGGGCTGCGCCCCTTCTAGCCCTGAAGATGTTTAGTATAAATGAAGTTTATATTCAGAGGGCTTCCAGGCGCGTTGCGCCCTCTAGCCCATAAAAAATTTTTGAGAGTCGTCGCCGTTGACTTTTTTGTATAGCGCTCAAAATAGTATAACTTTGTCCGGACAAGTAAGGGTCTATCGTCGCTACAGGAAAAGTTACAGGCGTTCCAAGGAAGTATACTTTGAGAAGCCTTTTCCCCCTTATAGAATGAGATAGGACGGTTATTTTACAAAACTGACAACACTTTGACCGAGTAGTTTTTTGAGCTGAACAAAAAGTGTCATATAAACATCTGTCAAAAACCGCTTTTTAACTTCACTTAAAATGCCACGTAAGCTACGTAAGAATATACGTAAGAGGAAGAGAGCATTGAACATCCAATAGTAAAACTGACACCACAACAACAGTTGCAACAACAAATAATGAATGACCCCACTATGTTGCAACAAATGTCAAGCAATCCTATGCTTTTAAACCGAGTTATTGGTGCACAGAGTGGAGGTTTAAGAGCGGCACTTTTAGCGAAAATGGCAGGCTATGGTGGAGCTGCAACGGAACAGCTTATAACCCTCAAAGTCAAATGAATTTGAGTTCACTCAAAAAATCAAATATCAGATGTCAAAAGTCAACATAGACATACAGAAACAAATAAGTGAAAACGAAAAGAAACTAGAATATGACAGACACACAAAGAAACTCAATGAGTTAAACGTAGAGAAAAAGAAGAGAAGAAAACAACTGAAAGAACTAAGTACAGAGGAATATGCGAAAAAAGTGTCAGAAAAAGCAGCAGAAGTAGCAAAAATGGAACAAGATGTTATAAATTTGAAAAACCATACTACTCAATATAAAGTACTGAAAGATGAAGAGATAAAACAAAAAGCCCTGAAGACATATATGGATAGCGATGAGTATAAAAAAGAAGTTGAAGCAAATGTAAAGGCAGAAAAACTTTTACAGTTGCAAAACCAAACCGTACAGTATGAAAACTTAGCACAAGAAAGTAAAAATAACGACGCAGCCATGCAAAAGGCAATGAAAAGCGCAGAATATATAAAAGCTAACAATGACTGGTTAGATGCCCAAGCCAACGCTAAAGCAGCCCAACTTATAGGGTCAATAAGGACAAAAATACAAGCGGACGAAGACAGTTCAAATGAAGCTTTAATGAATGCTGACTTTAAGAACGCCTTCGAAGCTCTTCATAGTAAGGTGAAACTAGTGAACGACTTCTCATCTGGAAAGAAACTGAAGTCTGAAGGTTTCGACAAAGAGTTAAGAGAAGTAGCACAAAATATGATGAAAATAACAGATGCAGCAACGAGACAGGCAGTTCAAAGTGCCTATGACGCCGTTAGAGCAACTGTTGTGGAAAGTCAAGAAAAAGAGTTACAACAGACCAAAACAGACCTAGTAAATGCTTTCTTAAAAACGAAAAGTCAGGTAGGACATTATGCTGCAGATGGAACATATGTGCCAGCTGGTGGAACTTATATACCACCAAACCCTCCAAGAGAAGCACCTGCACCAGGACTACCTAAAACATTTACATCGTCACATGGACACAGACACAGGCATGCACCAAAACCAGCACAACAACCAACAGTTCAAAATCCAGCACCACAACCAACAGTTCAAAACACTACACAACAACCAACAGTTCAAAACCCTGCACAGCAACCACAAACAGAGCAACAACCAACAGTTCAAAACCCTGCACAACAACAACCACAAACAGAGCAAGGACATAAAAGAAGTAGAGAACAAGGAAACCAAGAATTCTTAAAAATGCTTAAGGAAAATTATGGTTACCCAGATACTCTTGACTTTAGTGACAGATATAAAGAAGCTATTAGAAAGTTCAAGGAAGGAAATACTGACCCGAACCTATTTAGCTTTATGGTTCAGCACCAAATGGGATATAATTTCAAACCTGGAAAATACAAGCTCGCTAAGGGATATGATTTAATAGCATATCATCCAAATGACATGACTGAATTTACTCCGAGATATTTGGTGTCAGAGATAAATGATAATTCAACTATCTTCATGAAACGCGTAAAAAATAGAGACGGAACGAAAGAAGAAAGGGTTATGAATGCGGATGACTTAAATAGGGAACTTGTTAAAAACGGTCTCGGAATATATGAAATGCCAGCAGATGAGGTACAAGAAACTCCACAGGAAGAAGTTCAGATACAACCAGACATGGAAGAAATAGTTCAGCAACAACAGCTAGAAGAGCCTGAAGGAAACGAACAAGTCCCTCCTTTGGAAACTAACTTCACAGAACTAGATGAAGATTTGGAACAGCCGAAAAATCTTGACCCTCAACAAGAGTATGAGGTGAATATGGAATCTTTCCAAGAGTCTAAGAAAAATTCGGCTGACATGGTAGAAGAATATCGAAAAAATGTTTGCCGACATACAAAAGACTCCAACACCAGATGAAAATATTCAGCATAGAATGGAAGTACTGAAAGAAAATGTACGCAAATACAATAACCCTTTTTACTTACGACCATATAACGTTCAATCTTTTGCTGAACTCGGTGAAAATAAAAGGTTAAATTTCAACAAAACATATAGAAATGAAACATTGTTTAAAGTTCATTCAGAACCTAACCAATATGGAAACAAACCTACTTTTGTTTCTGCAGACTATGGAACTACAATGAGATGGGGTCATAAAGCAAATCCGGATAGGTGGTTCATAAACTTACAACCACAATTCCAAGAAGTTGTAGACGCAATGGAAGTGAATGGTGAACCAGATTTAGCTGGTATTTTCAGCGCGGCTTTAATGCCATTGAAAGATATGAAAGATGCAGATATTTTGGACCAGTATGAAATGAACATGGCTGATGGAAATATAACACCTGACGTTCTAGAACATTTATCTCAAAGAACTACACAGAACCATAGAGATGGTATATTTGGTGAAGAGTTTAGAAAGAAAGTTAGGGAGACAGAAGGAAGAGAACCTATTGTACATGACCTTGCAAACGAAAGTTTACAAAATGTCATAAAAACTTACTTTGCAGACAATGAACCGAGAAGGGATGAATATTTAAGAAAACTCAAATGGACAGTACCAAATGAAATGTTAGTATTGAAAAACATGTTCCTTGACAAAATAAAACCAACTACAGAAATAAATGACACAAGACTGAAACATTGGGTAAAAGCTTTCCCATTCACAAAAGATATTGTTGGTAACATGGAAAGAAAACCAGAATGGCTACAAAAACATATATTTGGAAACGAGCTTATTCCATATGGACAAGCTCTGTTTGAAGAGCTTGAACCGGAAACTCAGGAAAGAGTCATGCAAAACAATAAGCGAAGACTCAAATACAAACTATGACAAACTCTTTCTAGGATATAGGGTTACCTGAGATGGCGACCAGAGCCCAAAGGCAAAAAGGACATGGGAAATTTACAACATACTAGGTGAAATGAGGCAAAATGCAAAACTTGAAGCAGAGGGCAAGTTACCAAAAAGAAGAGAAGAGTAGAACAAAGTGAAAATAGTGAAGAAGTAACTTCATCTAGTGAAAGTAGTGGCAATGAAGGAAAAAGAAGAGTTAAAAACTCAGTCAGGAAGAAAGTAAAGCTTGGTACGAGTGGGTTCTATTATGACACATAAATCCAACTATTCTATATTTTTACCCATATGAAATGTACGCCGCTCAGAATATAACGCCAACAGTTTTGGATGCCATGAACGGAAATGTTTCCGAATGGTATAACGAATGCGACAATGCCATTAGAAGGTCAGAAATAGTTCCTGGAACTTACGAATATACAACTGCTGTTTCTTACGGAAACGTAGGTGAGTTTGGAGAAGGTTCTCTTCAACAACAGTAGATATTGCATGCGACAGGTTTCACATTATTTCTATTGACAACTCATTCTTATACGTGGAACAGACATTGAAATAAAACCTTCTGCCAAGTTGTCTGACAAGAAAGGTTGCAATGGAATTTTCTATGTCGGATACCAATATGCTCCAGAAGTTTTCATGGGATATAAGATATATTCTAACTCTGACTTAGTTCAAACAGTAACATGGGCAAACTATGAATGGTTCGCTTGAGAAACTCAGTACAACCACAAGCTAGAGAACAAACAGACCAGTATGCAACTATTGAGAAAATAAGAAGACTTGACCCTAACGTTCCAGGAGTTTATGTTAACCTTTCTGGACAAACTGCAGCAGCAGTAACCAAAGTAAAACTGAAACTTAGAGTTCCTTTGTCATCTTTCCTCATCTTCAGGTTTTTAAGATACTTGCCAAACTGGGCAGGAAAAATTTCTATCGAACTTACTCCAAGCAAAAATAACTTAGTCATTGCACCAACACAAGACCATTCACTATTACAGACGTAGAGGGAACAAATAAAACGTCATTCGCCGACTTTTGCAAAGACAAAGTTGACTTAGACTTTGGTTTCTCAAACCTCAACACTGAAGTAAACTATTATTTCAATGCTGCTGGAACTGCTTGGGACCCAGTTAAGTTCACATGCGAAAAATTTGAATGCAAGAGAATAGAAAGCAGACTTGCAGTCTATATGTTGGACCCAGATATTTCAAATGCTTTAGCTGCCAAATATATTGCAGTTCCACTTATGTTCCTATACACCAAATATCTGTCAAAGACTTTGCAGGTGAAGTTGGAAACCAAAGTGCTGACCCAGGTGCAAGAACAGATATTGCCTTAACAACTGCAATGAAACATGCAGATACTATGTTTGTTCTTTTCAGACGAACTATAAATGACTATTCTTGTTTCTACAACCCCGGTATTAAATATCATATAAACATAGATGGCAAATATTATCCAAGAGAAGAATATTCTACAGTTGAGGATATGAGGTCATACAACTTGACATTAGATGCTATGAACTTTAACAACAACTTCACAACAACCATTAACCCTGAAATGCAAAGTTCTATTATGCATATGTGAAAGTATGGACTCATACAGGAGGTCAAAAAACTCAATATACAAATGGAGACCGTTCAAACTTTTGGCTTGGCATTCCATTTGCTGACTCAGAAGACTTTATGGGTGGTATTTCAACTGTTGGTACAGTTCAAATACAATATACTGGTGACAGAGACGGTCCAGATGAATTGAAAGCAAAGAAGTTTACAAAACCAGCACTTTTCACGGAAGATGCTCTTTTGAAGATTCGTTCGATGAAACCTGCTGGGGCTCCTCAGATTGGCATAACGACAGCTTCCATCGAGCAGATTTTGGCAGCAGGTCAGTAAGTTGTTCTTGAACTGACTTCTCTCCGTCAAATATTGACAGTACGCCAGTTTTGACATAATATTGTATTATAAAACTTACCTTTAGAAATATCTGTAAGTTTTGAAGTTATATTTTTGTCTGCTTCAAGAACTTTCACCATTTCAGTTATACCAACTTTCTTTGCTTTATGAAAATATTTTGGTTCAGCAAATATTGCTATTCTATAACATTTTCCATTGTTTGTGTAAAGAACTATTCTGTCAATGTATTTGTATTGTTTGTGTGTGTAAACTTTGTTCTGCTTCAATTCGAAGAGATACTCAAATACGTCCATCTTTTTATTCTAAGTAAAATGTCATTTCCGAAAAATAGAAGCGTAAGTGTTTCAAAAGGTTTAATGGCAGTGGCAGATGTGAAGTTAAATTCACCAACTCAAACAAACAGTCAAAGTGTTGTTGTCAATGTCAAAGAAAGAGATGTTGAAGTGGGGAAACCATACGAAGACGAAGATGGTATAACAATAGTTCCTGTAAAAGAACAACCAACATACCCTGAAGTTAGCAGAGACTTAAGTTCTGTTGCAGATATTCGAAACGACTACCAACAACTGAAAGACAAACTTCAAACTCAGGAGAAGATTTGTCAAGCTTTAGGTATAATGTTAAACTTGGTCGAACACAACCCTGTAAAAGTGAACTCATATGTCATTGCACCTCATGAAGTTTTGAAAGAACTATTGAAACTTTTGACAGAGGCAGACGATATAACATCAAAGAAATAGAACCCGACGTTAGTTGCTGTGGTGTTTCATATAATGTCATTGACAAGATATACGTTATGAAAGGAGGTGAAACGTTGAACTTAAAATATAGTTTCCCAGACGTTATAAAAATATTTGACGACCACAACATTTCATTAAAATTTAGTTGCTAAGTAAATGGCAGAAGACATAGTGGTTTATACTATTACGACTAAAAACCCTGAGTCATATAATTCTATAACAACAAACTTACAAAGTCCTCAAGGACGATATTGTAAACTAACCTTAAACACAATGACGACTAAAGCCTGTTTTGCTCTTTTGACACCAGAAGACTTTGTTGTTGTGAATGGTAAAAAATACTTCTTTGAAGATACTTACTCAGATATACCACCAACAGGTTTTGTTGACTTATTTAATACTTTAAGGACGGATGTAACATGTGCTGCAACTAGAGCAGGTTTCATTATGTTTGGATGTCCGACTGAGTTTACTATAAACAATATGAGCTATAATACAAAACTTATATCTGGTTTTTACTACCAACAGTTTCCTATAACAGGAAAAGGTGTCATACAAGGAATGTCTGTTCCATTGACTTTAAGCACACCTATTTTATATATTGTTTCAAACTTAGGTTCAAAGTGCTATTCGAATGTCGACAGAAACTACTATGACCAAAAGATACTCATGCGTATAAACAACACATTCTCTGCTGGTTTGCCTATTGTTCATTCGAATGCAGAGTTTTCAGCTTTAGTGAACTCAAACACTTTAGCAAACATAAACTTAACCTTAGTTGACGCAAACTTTGTTCCTGTAAAACTTTTATGTCCTATGTATTTGTCAATGACGGCAGAAAGTTTCGAATTGGAAGATGCAACTGGTGAAAGTATTGTACTACAAGAACAACTTCAACAACAAATAGCTCAAGAACAACAAATGCAACAAATAGCTCAAGAATAAAAAAAATATTTTTTTTTATTTTTATAAAAATGTACAGAATAGATGTTTCAGATTTTTATGACTTCCAAGCCTTCAGAAATATGTGTCCATTTAGAGACTATAACAAAGCAGTCGAGAATTTGAAACGTTTAGTCATTTATGTCGACTCTGCCCCAGAATGTTATGTCATGAAAGAATGGGATGTTGTCTTTAACAAACCAAGAGCGACAATAGTTTCAGAACAAGAATGTAAACAGAAACTTAAGAAAATAAAAGTCGTACAAGTTGGCATGAAGATGTTAGATGCTTGGGATATCTTATTGTCAAAGTTAGAAGATTTTTCAGTTCGTGGTATAAAGTTCTATACACCTTCTCCAAACTTCTATTCTATCTTCACTGGATATAAATACGAACAAGTAGAATGGAAAGAAAATGTTATAGAAGCTTGGTTAGACCATGTCAAAGAAATTATATGCAATGGAAACGAAAGAGTCTATGAGTATATCTTATGTTGGTTTGCAAACATCTTACAACATCCAAGTGCTAAAAATGAAACTGCTCTCATTATAATTGGAAAACAAGGAACAGGTAAGAACACATTCTTTACAGATATCTTATGCAAACTGTTAGAGGGCTATTCGAACCCTAATATGACAAACTTAGAAAACATCTGCGGTAAATTTAACTCTTCAATAGAGAATATGAAACTTATAGTATGTAACGAACTTCAAAGTATAGATACAACAAAAGTTTTGAACTCAGATGCTTTGAAGAGTCTTATAACAGACAAAGTTGGAGTTGTTGAAAGAAAATATAAAGACCAAAGAGTTTGTGAAAATGTTGCAAACTTCGTCATGGTTTCAAACAACGCTGTTCCGATGAAGTTAGAAAGTTCTGACAGAAGATATGTAGTTGTCAGAACGTCAGATTCTCATATGCAAGATACAGAATATTTTGACGACTTAGCAGAAACTTTAACATCTGACTTTTACAACCACTTGTTCTCATATTTCATGACATTAGATATTTCTAAGTTCAATCCAAGACAAATTCCACATACCGAAGAGAGACAAACATTGTTAGAAGCAAACAAGAGTGTATATGAACTGTTCATAGATGAAACTGACTTTGAGTGTTTAGATGAAAGGTCATTGTACGATTCGTATAAACAATATTGTCAAGAGTATGGTTATATGACAGCGTCTAAACGAACATTCTTGGCAAATGTCAAAAGTCTTTTGGATGTACAGAATGGTGTATATACAAAGAAAAATTTTTCTGAGTAAATTTTAAAAAAATATTTTTTTTTATCCGATAGAAAAGATGGCGAAATTCATCTCAGTAAACAAGTACATGTCAGGACTTAAAGAAGAACTAGACCCATTCACATATTTGAATGTTTACTTCTACCATTTTGAAAAGTCTACATATGACAAAGTTTGGAACATCGAACCAGTTAAGTTTGCTATTGTGACTAAAAATGGTGCGAAATTTGAAGACTTAGACATAGAAGGTTTGTTAACAGTCAAAGAAAGTTTTGACAGAAGGTTTTCAAACCTTAAAGAAGGCAAAGCATACAAACTTGTTATACCTTATGAACCAAAGAAAGCAGACGACTATGAATATTATGAGTCTAAAGTTGTAGAAGTTCAAGGTAAATTGGGTAAAAAGATTTTAGAGTCTAAGCCAGTGTTTACTCCTAAAGAGGAAGATAACATTGACATTGACCCAGAAATGTTCTAAAAATAAAATTTTATTTTTACATGTCAAATTTCTTCTTCTCTGGCTCTGGTTCTTTCTTCTCTTCTTCTACTTTCTTTTCTTTCTTTTCTTTCTTCTTCTTTTCTGGTGGAGTTATGTCAAACTTCTCAGAACCATATTTTTGTAAAAGTTCTTTGTCCTTTAATAGCTCTTCTATTCTGTTTTCTATTTCATCTTCAAGAACAGCGCATGTGTCTTCTTTGCATTCTAAGAAGTTTTGTTGGACTTCATCTCTCCAAGAGGCGTCATCTCTGTCAACAAGTCTGTCATTGACAAATTTTAAGACTGCTCTGCTTAATGTTTTATGGTTCTTGTCATATTCCCAGAAACAGAACTTTAGAACAAATTCACCTTTCTTGTTTACACTATGTAAGATTTTATGGTCTACAGATGTTTTGCTGTCGAAAAGCTTGTCTCGAATATAGATGGCGAAATCGCTAGACATTTTGTAAAAGATAAAAGTTTTAATTTTTCTAAAAATATGTTAGAAAAAAAGTTTGCTGACATTGACAAGAAATTTGAGAATGTTTTAAACAAGAACAAGAGGAAGTTGGAAAATGCTCAGATAAAACCCATACATGACAAGTTCTTATTTGCTCAGAATGGTATAACAGGTCTAATTGCACCACCTGGGTCGGGTAAGACTTTCACTTATCTTAAAATGGCTGCACAACAACAAGAACTAGATGAGAAGAACCCATTCTATGAGTTAGTTGTTATTTGTAGTACTTCGGGTCAATTTGACCAAACCGTCAATTCGTTCAAAGATATTATAAAAAAGTCTAAGTTAGTATGTATAAAGGATACTGAGTTGTTAGATTGGATAAAGAAGTACCAAAGAAGAGTTTTGAAGTATAATGCTATAAATGAGTATGTCAATTCGAAGTTTAAAGACCCAAATGAGGAAATGCAGAGAATATTAGAGAAGAAACACTTCAGAAACAAACAGAAAGAGATAGAATACATTTCGAAGAAATTGCAATCTTACGATTGGAAGACTTACCCTCACAGATGTCTTCTTATCTTAGATGATTTCGCCTCTCATCCTTTGTTAAAGAACAGAGAACAAGACATGTGTCGAATTCTTAAGAAGCTCAGACACTTTAACATCTCTGTTGTCATTTGTGTACAGACAGCAAAGAGTTTAAGTAAGGATGTAAAGAGAATACTTACTGACATTGTACTTTTCCCCGGATTGTCCGAAGACGATTTCATGGAACTTATGAAAGAGTCCATGGCAGGTAAGTTTGACAGACATGAACTATGGGAGAAGTACAAAGTCATACAAGACCCTCATACTTCTTTCAGAATTCATATCTACGCGAACAAAGTTCAAATTGTAAAAAGTCAAGCGTAAAAAATGTAAGTGTTTGAGTCTTAGTCTGTTGTGGTGCTGGGGCTGTCGGTTCTTCTGGCTTTGGAATGGACTCGGTTGGTGGTACGTCGGACATTCGTTTGTGTCCTGTCGGAAGGAAGAGTTCTTCCTGTTGTCAAGAAATTTTTTTCCTGTCGGAAGGAAGGACTTTTCCTGTTGGAAGGAAGGACTTTTCCTGTTGGAAAGAAAAATTTTTCCTGTTGGAAGGAAGGACTTTTCCTGTCGGAAGGAAGGACTTTTCCTGTTGGAAGGAAGGACTTTTCCTGTTGGAAAGAAAAATTTTTCCTGTTGGAAGGAAGGACTTTTCCTGTCGGAAAGAAAAATTTTTCCTGTTGGAAAGAAAAATTTTTCCTGAAGGTCGGCCAAAAAGTTCTCAATTTTCGAAAATTTGAATGGTTTACGGACGGACAACAGAAAAAATTTTTCCTGTTGGAAGGAAGGACTTTTCCTGTTGGAAAGAAAAATTTTTCCTGTTGGAAGGAAGAGTTCTTCCTGTTGGAAGGAAGGACTTTTCCTGTTGGAAAGAAAAACTTTTCCTGTTGGAAGGAAAAACTTTTTCTGTTGGAAAGAAAAACTTTTCCTGTTGGAAGGAAAAACTTTTTCTGTCGGAAGGAAGGACTCGGAATGCCAGAAGGACTCGGACAAGACAATTTACCTTATAGAGCTACCTGAGCCATCTTTGGTGTCAAGCTTGAAAAATAAACGCTTTACATGTATTTTTCAGCAACTTCGTCAAATAATTTTATAGCACTATCTATCTCATCTACTTCAAACGTTTCTTTACCTTTCGTGGGAGCACCATACCTTTTCTCAAACTTTTCAAGTAGTTCTGTTTCTGCAGCTCTCATATCATTTACAAACACAACCTTAACTCTATTGACTGTACTGTCATATCTTTTAGTTATATTAAATGTTCTTCCTATCTTATATCTCTTTGTATTGAAGTCCTTCGGTTTCTGAACGATATAAAGTAAGCCTTCACTGCAACGTTCAGTATCGAATGAACCATATGTTATGAAATTATATCCAACAACTGGGTCAATCCAGAACAAAACTAGTGGTATAAGACTTTTGTCTATAAGATATGCTGTAGTTCCATGAAATCTTACCGATATCAAAAGCTCAGGATTTCTTGTCAAAATTTTCTGACTAGAAGCATTTCTAACCCAGTCCTTTGCTCTCTTTCCAGATGGAGATAAAATGTCTGACAAAGAATATTTCTTGTATTTCTTTGAGTATCTTACGTTTAAATCACCAATTCTAACCACTTTGGTCTCATTGTCTATCTTTTTAACTGTTTCAAACTCAGTGTTTGTCATTTCCTGTTCTTACATACAAAATAAAAAAAAATATTTTAAAAAAACTAGCGTTATTTTTTTATTTTTTCTATCTTGAGGAAATTCATGATTTCAGGGATTTTTTTGACGATTTTCATGAGTTTTAGGCAAGGCCGAAAAAAATCGGGCTAGAGAAATTTCACGATTTTCATGTGTTTTTTCACTGTTTTCATAGAGTTTTGGCGACCAGGGTTTTTAACGTACTCGCAATTTTTCACGATTTTCATAAGCGTAGTATATGGTAAACGTCATTTTTTTGACGAAGTGTAAAAGTTCACTTCGTAAAAAAAATACAGTTATATCATGAAATTTGGTCATTTTTTTCAGCAAAAATATATTTTAGGTGGAACCAGGTCACCAGGTCACCAGGTCAACTAACATCTTTTTGAAAATAGTGACAACAAGACATTTTGACAACAACACAGGAAATAGATTTCATCGTATATGTTTTGTTGTTGTATTTCATCGTCAATGTTTTGTCAAGATTTCTTCGTCAATGAGTGTAAATCAGGCAAAAATATATTTTAGGTGAAGAGGTGAGATCTCACCTGTTTTCTCACCTCTTTTTTCACCCCATATGTCCTTACTGAAAAAGTATGTTTTCCATATGTCATTTTACTCAGAATTCAATAAAAATATATTTTAGGTGAAGAGGTGAGATCTCACCTGTTTTCTCACCTCTTTTTTCACCTCTTTTTCACAAGCGTCTTACATGAATTGTACGATGTATATTTGAAATCCTAAACAGTTTTGTGGCTTCGATTTCCTCTGTCAGTACATCGAATGTTTTAACAATGCCGAAGGTTTCTTTATATTTCTTCTTGACATCTGAAAGAAGGAAATCGTCAGCTGTTGGATAGTTTTTGTTCAGAAATGCTAACATGTCCATTTTATCTTCTGCTGGTTTCTCTGCTTCTTTCTTTAAGTCAGCATAGTCGTTTCTCATTCTTTCTATCTCTTTGACGGAGTAGTTATATTTCCTCATTGCTGCTTTACATTTAGAACATTGTGGGTTCATTTTAGCGTTATATTCTGAAACCTTACCTGCAAGTATGACTAAGGCGTCAATGGTTTTCTTTAACTCAAAGGCTGCTGGTTTTATCTGTTGGTTCCATACTTTACCTCTTCTATCTTCATCTCTTATCTGCCATACACATTCAGCAACTAACGAAACAAAGTTGTCGTAGGTCTTAAACTCCCCAGATTTGTATATGTCAGAGATGTTCTTATATAACATGTCGCAGTCTTTGTCCATGACTTTGTGGTTGCAATGAAATCCAAGAAACTCATAGTTTACCTTACGTATGAACTTCTTGGTTTCAACTGAGTCAGTTGGTTTCACTTCTATTTCATCGAATTCTGGAATAGTGAGCTTTTGTTGTTGGATTTCAGGAAGTTTAGGTAGATGGTCGATGAGGTCTTGCATGTCATAAAGATATTCTTCATTTGTTTCATCTTTTGCAGTGCAATCTAAATCTCCTTGGAGAAGTTCTTGCTTTATCTTCTGGATTGTTGTTTCGAAAGTATATGAAGAAGGAATGAAGCTTTTCATCTCTACTAACATAGATGTTGGGTTCATGACTAACGAGTTTGGTGCTGTTGTTGCTAACATGTTCTTACAATAAAAATAAAAAATATTTTTTTTTAAAAACTAACTTTATTTTTTATTTCGGGAAAATTCATGAAAATTCAACGGGTGAGAAAAGAGGTGAAAAAACGGGTGAGATCTCACCACTTCACCTAAAATATATTTTTGCCGAGTTCAGCAACAAATTCAAGAGTTTTGTGTGTTTTCTACGATGTTGTCAAAATGTCTTGTTGTCACACTTTTTCAGAGAAGTTCATTTGACCTAGGCACATGGGCACATGGGCACACCTAAAAAAACATCTACCCTAAAATATATTTTTGCCGAGTTCAGCAACAAATTCAAGAGTTTTGTGTGTTTTCTACGATGTTGTCAAAATGTCTTGTTGTCACACTTTTTCAGAGAAGTTCATTTGACCTAGGCACATGGGCACATAGGCACACTTCACTTCTTCAAAACATTTACGAAGAAGAAGTCATGACAAAACATTTACGAAGAAGAAGTCATGACAAAACATGTACGATGAAGAAGTTTGTTTTCTACGATGTTGTCAAAATGTCGTGTTGTCACGCTTTTTCAGAGAAGTTCATTTGACCTAGGCACACATGGGCACATAGGCACACTTCACTTCTTCAAAACATTTACGAAGAAGAAGTCATGAGTTTTGTGTGTTTTCTACGATGTTGTCAAAATGTCTTGTTGTCTCGCTTTTTCAGAGAAGTTCATTTGACCTGGTGACCTGGTGACCTGGTGACCTGGTGACCTGGTGACACATGGTTACCCGGTGACATGGTGACCCCTTCAGTAAACATCTCATTTTAACTCACTTTTTTTCTATCTTAAGGAAATTCATGAAAATTCAACGGGTGAAAAAACAGGTGAAAAAAGAGGTGAGATCTCACCACTTCACCTAAACTTTATTTTTCAATACTTTTTCAGCACTTTTCCGTAGTTGTATATGAAAGACAATTCGAGATAAAAGTCATAGTACAATGGAATAATATGCTGCACACCGTTTGTTGTGAACCAAACTTGAAAGTCAGAGAAACTGTTACTAGGTGGTTCGTAGAATTTAGAAGCAAAGTCATAAAAGTCCTTACCGATACATAGAAAACTGTTGTTGCTTGAACTGAAACTTGCATGACACATGACATTTTGAGGGTCAAACACGTTTCTATAAACTGTCAAATCTGCTGGTGGAAGTATAAAATTAAATGGACCATCTGGTGGTAATGGTTCGTTCTGGTTTAGTAACCGAAGAAATTGTGCCCAAGAACGCTTGTCTACTCCCCAATATAAAAACTCTGTATCTCTTGGAGGGTTAATTTCAATCTTTTGAAATGAAACTGTGGAGTTCATCTTGTTATATTCTAGTTTCAGATAGTATGTTCATTTAGTAAAGAGTGGTATTTTTTCTTGAAATTCCCAGTAGTATTGTTTTATTTGAGTTTGAAATCATTTAGAGTTTCTCTCAAGACTTTCGTCTGAACGAATTGTAAAAGATTTTCATTTCGTCAAATTTTTCTATTAGACCATCAGAACCTTTGTACTGACCATGAAAATATACCGCGAACATGAAGGCGTTCGTTCTATTTGAAAACAAAACTCTTCTAAATCCTATTGCCTTTGCATCTGAAGGACTTTGAAGCCAACGAATTGGATAGTCAAACCTGTAAGCCCCGGATGAAATTTCTTCATCTGAAATAGTCCTACCGGCATTTGTGAAGATATAGTCTAACGGTTTTGTATCTGCTACTTTTGTTCTTTGTTTTTCAACCTGAAGCATTTCATATATGTAAAAATATATGGTTTAAAAAAGTTTTTATTTCATGCAATGTTTTATTTCTGTGCCGTCTTCAAGTATACCCCAGTACTTACGTTTGGAGAGGACATGAACTTCGGAAAATACCTTGTCTAGCTTAAAAAGGCCCATCTTTTCACCGACCATTCCCATTTCAATGAGTTTGTTATACCCTTCTTCGTTCGTCATGAGTGCATCGATGTTCTCGTAGTATACCACAACTTTGGATTTGATTTCCGAGAAGAACTTGTTGTAGTTGTCAAGGACTGCCTTTGCGAACTGAGGGTAAGACCAATGTTCGACAATAGGTTTTAATGTGGTTACTAAGCCACTTTGACCTTCGGTGAACTCGTACTTCAAAACAAAAGGAGAAAACCTTTCAACAAAGTTGTCGACCTTCTCATAATGTTTACTCTTCATCTTTTGAGGTTTTTTAATGGAATATCCCCATGTCGAATTCATAAGCAGTTTGAGTGTCATTGCAAGTTTTGGGTTTGAAGCTTTCCTAATATCATATAGTTGTTGTATGACCTTTCCAACTGTATAGTTCCTTCCCGGGAACTCACCATCTTCGTTTGGAATTCCAGTCGGAATATATTGGACAAACCTCATGTACGCAGCGTTAAGGTCGACATAGTATATTTTTTCGTATGAGTCAAACTTGTCGCATCCAATTGGTCCAGTTTTTGGAAATTCAAGCGAGTCTCTTATCTTCTGAGAAACTTCTCCTGTTATCTCATAAACATCGTCAAAGCAACCTGTTTCATATAAAACCTTCTGACCCAA